CCCCAAAACCCCAAAACCCCAAAACCCCAAAACCCCTTGCTTGATACCCAGCATTGATTAATCAATTGTGCCTTATTTAATGGCTTCAATATCTTCCTGAAGTTTCACAATTGAGAATGTATCTTGCTTTTTAACCTCAAAGCCATTCTTGTAAAGATACACCTGAGGAGGAGTTGGATCAGCAGCCAAGGAATCTCTGATGAAAATAGAGAAATCTGCCATTTTCAGAGTGTTAACACTCACGAACAGCATACTAGAGTCACCTATTTAGTAAGAGAACTAGTTTACCTTCTGAAGTATGATTTTTAGCGAATTGGGATATCTCCTCATTGGCCTTCTTACATTCACTTTCTTCAGGAGACCAGAGATACACACAAAGCTTCGGAGTCTCAAGGATGGTATCTCTCAAAGTCGTAGAGTCAGATATAGCCAGCAAGCCATCTGGATCGTCTAGTTTAGCAATAGCTTGATCTTGAGTATTAGAAATGTTGTTCATCAAGGCTAAAATGTTTAACTTGAGGGTGACTTCTCCGTTGCTGATATCAATAAACTTGAAGATGTCTGCTTCTCTCTTTAAGAAGGCACCCAGCTGGGCTTGGATGAAGGGAGTAAGTGCCTTACCTATTGGAAAATATCAGAATTTGGCTAAGAAATCTTACCTATAGGAGTTTTGATCACTTCACTTGCTTGGTCAAGCAACTCTTTAGGTACTGAGTTCCCTGTCAGGAACTCGATGATCTCATTTGAGTAATGGTTACAGTTGTTTTTAGCAAGATCATACTTATTTACGTGAATACTTGGGATGAATGCTCTTGATGAACTCAAGAAAAGTCTCCTTGTCAAGCTTGGTCTCACCAAAGTCTACTGCTTTCTCAAGACCAGGAGAAGAGCCCTCGGCTCTTCCCTTGGTTCCAGAGCCTCAGTAGTACTCTGTGCCATAGACGCTGACAGCAGTGTGGTAGATTCCGTCTGATTGGTACCCAAAGAGTTCTTGGGAATGGCTCTTGCAAAGTCCCATGCTGAGATCATAGAAATTAAGCTTCACTCTATTTCCTGTCTGCTCCATTTTAATCTAATTAACTTTCTCAATATTTTGCTGCCCAAGTGGGGTTTTGGGGTTTTGGGGTTTTGGGGTTTTGGGG